GGGGGGGCTATATCATTTATGTTTGATTTAATTTTTGATTATCAATCTATCAACTCTGTTGACTTTGGAATAGTAGATAAATAATAACTTATGTGAGAGTAATATCTCTATTCTCAAGATCTTTCGCACTAAAGAAATTCTAATAGTTGAATTTTGAAATATAGAACAATCATGACAAACGATAGAGCAAAAACAATCACATAATTTCTCCTCTTCAATTTTGTTTGAAGCAAGAGAACTTTACTAAGAGCCCGTTTGGATTGGCTTGTTTTAAGTGCTTTTAAGCCAAAAAAGCTTTTAAGTCATTTTGTAGTGTTTGGATAAAGTAAACAAGTGCTTTTAAGCATTTGTTTTTAAGCTAAAATGACAAAAACAAGCCAAAAGCCAAAAATTAGAATTCCTAACTTTTAGCTTAAAAGCTATTTTGACTTAAAAGTCACTTAAAACAAGCCCATCCAAACGGGCTTTAAGTAGTATGAAATAAAGAAAACAACATTTTTATTTCTTTCAGCTGCTTTGTACTTAATTGACAAAAAAATTATAAACATTTGATTCTTACATTCTTCAGGAAAATATATAATATGTACGAAGGAGTTTTTATTGAAAGAGTTACAAGAAAATACACATTACTTCACACCATAACAAAAAATGGATCATGTTTTTAAGTTTTACCCGACCTAGCCCATATTGTGCATAACTTGAAAGAAATTTTTCAGCCTTTAGCCCATTATTAAAGACACACATCTAGGGTTTTTATTTTTTTTCTTTTTTCTTCATTTGCACCGCATTTTTCTCTCCCCACCGCCTCTCGCTTCTTTCTGTCTAACCCACACAGATCCCCCCATCCTCTCTTAACCTAGCCCCTGCTATTCTCCCTCCCTCTACGCAGTTCTGCCATCAATGGCTCGAAGAAGGCTCAGGTTCCTCCTCCGTCGTCCAACCCATCAAGTCTGATGGTGGCAAGCGGAAGAAAATTAAAGATTTTAAAAGAAAAATGAAAATACACACATATCTAAAAATAAATAGCTCTCAAACTTGATTTGCATAAAAAAATAATCACTAATTTTGGAAGATTTTGAAGTTTGAAATTCGGATCATTATTGTTATGACCTTGAAGTCTCAGATCTAAAACTGGGTGTATCTTGTGTGGGTATTGTATCCAGAATCATTGGCGCAAAGTTGTCAACCTATTGACGAGTTGAATCATCCAATACCTTTTGCTACAACTCGAAATTTGAATAAAAAATTATACCATGTAGCAGTTTGTATCAACACTGTATAATAGTGTATAATTGTGTATATGAATGTACAAACACCTTTTATACACCATTATACATATTTATACAAGTTGATACATTATTTTCAGTAAGTGTAGTGTTGGACATAATGCATTTTCTAGTGGAAATATTCTATAAGTGGTATTTATATCCACTTATACAGTATTATATAATATGTATGATTGTGTATAAATATTTTTATTTGTGTATAATGTTGTATAATTATATATTTTTTCAGTTTATAAGGATGTATATACATTGTCACTGTATAAAAGGCCTCTATGAAAGTTTGACACTTTCTTCTCTTCTTCTTTTTTGTGTATTGCTGTTTGAAAAAGATCTTGTACGCGTTGGAGGAATTTTACAATTCATTTACCAAGTTTTAATTTTTTTGAAATATGTAAAAAGGGAAGTAAAAGAAAACAAATAAGAAAGAAAAAGGACAAAAGGAAAAGATAAAAATGAGAAATCTGATTTAGGTGTGAAACGGATGGTAAAAGGAAAAAGGAATCACAGTGAGTAAACGGTAGGCAGAGTTTGACTTGTTTTCAGAAAGGTTTGTGGGCTATCGGATGAAAACTATATTCCTGGGTTAGGCGGGTGAAAAGTGCTTCCTCTAACTGTATTTTTATGTAAATTTCCCGTTTTTATTCTATGCAAAATTATTTTATTTTGTTTCTATTGAACTCTATATGTTTAGACACTGCTAGATTTTGTAATATTATTAGAGGTCTTTAAAATGATCAAATCTGGATTCAACACTCATGAACAAAAGGAGAAGACAACGAAGAACAAAGAGACTGAGCTGGAGAGAAGACCTTCACTCTCAGTTGATTAATCAGTATGAAAATGCTACAGTGTACAACTAATATAAACAACTAACTTCGAGCTACTTCTTTAACTTAACAGATGTATACAACTGTCACACATTAACTAACTAACTACTAACTGCTAACTAACTAACTAACAATTCTCTTTCAACACCCTCCCTCAAGCTTATGGTTGAAATATGTATTTCAACCCCAACTTAGATACAAGATAGTCATGTTTCAGCTTCCCAAAACTTTTAGTTAGAAGATCAGCTTGTTGTTTTTTGGTAGGTACATGATCTGTTTTGATCATCCCTTGCACTATTTTTTTGTGAAAATAGTGGCAGTCAATATCAATATATTTTGTCCTCTCATGGAATATAGGATTAGCTGCAATCTTGATGGCAGCTTTGCTATCACAGTAAAGGTATATAGGCCACTGAACAGTTACTCCTAGCTCCTTGTGCAGCCCAGTCAGCCAAGTTAGTTCTGCCACAGGTGATGCCATACTTCTACATTTTGCTACTGCTGAGCTTCTAGCAACATGTCTTGCTTCTTAGAATTCCAGGATACAAGAACATTGCCAAGCCTCAGTAGATAGCGAGTGACATATCTTCTACTTTGTAGGCATCCTCCATAGTCTGAGTTACATAAAGTTTGTAGCTTTTCTGATCCTTCAGATGGCATCAACAGATCAAGTCCAGGTGCAACTTTGATATATATTACCACCCTTAGTGCAGGTTCTATATGTGACTGCTTCAGCTTATGCAAGAATTGGCAAGCACCTGCACCACAAAGGCAATATCAACTCTGGTCATTGTCAGATATAGTAATCTGCCTAAAAGCCTTTGATATGATACTGCATTAGTGAGTAGCTTGTCCTCAGTTTTGTCATCATTGTTATCAAAACAGTCATACTTATCAAAAGTTAACTTCAAGTTAATTTTAAGTGGTGCACCAGCAGGCTTAGCACCTCCAAGCGCCATTTTTGTAATTTGTTCCAGGGCATACTTTCTTTGACTCATTACAATCTCTTTGTCTGATCTGACAAATTCTATGCCTAGGAAGAACTTAATCTCTCCCAAATCCTTCATTTTAAACTTTAGCTTTAGGTCATTTATTGTCTTCAAGATTAAATCATTACAACTTCCAATTACAAGAAGATCATCTGCATAGCCTAACACTATAACCAGCTTATCGTGTATGTGCTTTGTGTATAGGGAATAGTCAAAATGTCTTCGAGTGGAGCCTAGGTGTAGGAGTGGATCAGTCAGCTTTCTATTCCACTGTCTTGGAGCCTGCTTAAGGACATATATAGACTTATGTAGTTTGCAGACTTTATTACTCCCTCTCTGGCTAGCAAACCCCTGAGGAATGTCCATATACACCCCCTCCAAAAGATCTCCTCGTAGGAATACAATGTACATCCATTTGGAAGATAGGTCAGTGCTTAGCAATGACAACAACAACCACAGACCTAATAGTTACCATTTTTATCATAGGTGAAAAGGTCTCAATGTAATCTAAGCCTTCCTACTGACTATATACCTTGGACACAGGTCTGGCTTTGTACCTTTCTATTGCTCGTGAAGTTGTGTACTCCACTTTGAATACCCACTTGCAACCAATAGGAACCTTACCAGTAGGAAGATCAACAATACTCTATGTCTTATTTTCCTCTAATGCTACAAGCCCAGACTTCATTGCTGCAATCTAGTTGGGATCTTTAACTGCCTCAAGGTAAGTTTCAGGTTTCTCAATAGAAGAGTAAGCATATAGTGCAGTACCAAATGGAGCATAGATATGATCATAGCTCACATACAGTGATATAGGGTAACAACAATTGACATTTTCCTCTCCTTGGGTAACATAATCTTTTAGCCAAACATGTGGTTTGCTTACTCTGGCTAATATCTTGCTTGTACTTAGTTCTACTTACATGGGTGCATTGTGCACTGCTTCATTGAGCACTGTATCTATAGAAGTAGCTGCTGGTAGAGAAATTTCACTAGAGGAGGTTGGCATGTCTGGATATTCAGTGTCTTGCTCATTAGATGCTACAGAAGGAGTTGTAACTAGAGCAGGGACATCAAGCCTATAATCTGAGAGAGAAGTAGTGGAGAAATCTAGCACAGGGAATAAGAAAGTAACTGCGGTATCCAGATATTGAAAAGGAAAGACATCTTCCTTGAATACCATATATCTGCCTACTAAGAAATTCCTTGAATGAATAATGTGCATCTTATAACTCTTCAGTGTCATAGATTAACCAAGAAACACAGCAGGGACTGCCCTAGGAGAGAATTTATCCGCCTTTCTCATTTCTATAACATATCCTAGGCAGTCAAACACCTCTAAATGTCCTAAGCTAGGAGACCTGCCATGTAAAATCTCAAAAGGCGTTTTAGTTTTGTCTTTAAGAGCTGAGGTAGGAAGCCTATTGATAAGATATACTGCAATAAGAACACAATCTCCCCAAAATATGAGTGGAATTGCTGCTTGAAACCTCAATGCCCTAGCAACATTTCGGATGTGGTTGTGCCTTCTTACTACCACTCTATTTTGTTGTAGAGTGTAGGTACAAGAACTCTGATGAACAATATCTAAAGTTTGAAGTAGGTTTGTCATCTGAGAGTTAAAAAACTCACAACCATTGTCAATTCTTAGAATGTTTACAGTGGAGGAATATACATTCTTAATTATAAGGAAGAAATTTCTGAGAGCAACAATTACTTTGGATTTATAAGGTAAGAGAAATATCCACCTATACCTGGAGTGATCATCTACCAAAGTCAAAAAATACCTTTTCCCATCATGAGTGGGTACCCTGTATGGACCCCAAACATCTCCATGAACTGTATGAAAATAACTAGTAGAAATAGTAGTACTCAAAGAAAATGGTAGTCTTGTTTGTTTAGCCAAAAACATATTGTACAATGTTGATAAAATTTTGTACTGTCAATAGTCTGAAACATAGGATGTTTGTTTTAGAGAATCAATAGGCACATGGCCTAATCTTCTATGCCATAAGGCTATATTTATCTACCATCCTTATCCTTTATTGTATTCACTAGTGGTGTTGAAATGTCCTTTCCTGAATTGTCCGCAGACTGCAATCTACTATTTGGAGTGAGCACATATAGTCCACTATCTTCCTTAACATTCCTTTTTACCTTGCCATTGAATAGATCCTGAAAAATACAGAAATCACGAAAGAAACAGATTGAACACTTCAACTCTTTAGTTATCTTTGACACTGATAATAAGTTGTATTTGAACTCTGGATCTGCATGACATTAGTTATCATTTTTCCTCGGAAACTATAAGCAGTTCCTAAGTGTTTAACTATAGCTAGGCTTCCAGTAGGTAAAAGTACCTTTCCTTTTTGGAATTATCACAAGGTTTAGATTCACTTCTAACCATATGATTAGAAGCATACGAGTCTACTATCCATTTAGTGAATTTATCAGTTTCATCAGTGATTGTTGTAGCATCATTATCCATACATGCTGCCATAACCGCTTCATTGATTTCACTTCACTATCCTAGGATTTATAGAATCTGTGAGTATTATTCTGGTGTGAAATGAGACACTACAACTGGTGTACTCTAATTTTGACTATAAGATGACTCTCTAGCAGTTGAAGTGCTTCCTATAAAGTTAGTTGTGGTACCTCCAAAGTTTTCTCCTGTTGGACCAAAGTTTGAGTTTTTAACTGTGTTGCCAGCATTCACACCTTGACTCTCTTTGGCAAAGTTCCCTGTAGAGTTGTACTTCTTCTTGGACTTGAAGTTTGATGGGTAGCCATTTAGCTTATAACAAGCTAAGTCTCTTTAGTGTAGCCTTTGAAATTACAATAGTCACAGTACATGAAATTCTTCCTTGTCCTAAAATTGTTCACTGAGTTAGGGCCTCCCTTGCTGCTGAACAAGGCTATGTTACTAGGATCGTAAGCTCCATTGCTTCCACCGCTAAACAAGGCTGTATTATCCTGATTTTCAGCTACATGTGAAGAGGTTTCTATTGATCTTTTACACTCCCCAGAGATAACCATAGCATAAGCTTAGTTTATGATGGGGGTGGGAGACATCATCATTATCTGATTACTAGACTGACCATATGACTCGTTTAGTCCCATAAGAAACTGCAAAAGCCTATAAGATTCAAAATATTTAGCATACTTTTTTTGACACCTCACACCCACACCTAGGACAAGGCATTAGGGCATCACATTTTGCCCAAAGCTCTTTCAATTTGGAGAAATAGCTGGACACAAAGGAGATTCTTTAATACAAAGTGGCTATCTGTCTATGTAGGAATAGAACTCTAGAGCCATTAACTTAGTCAAAGCTCTCCTTGAGATCTGTCCAAACTTTACGAGCACTCGTGGCATAAATCATTCCACTTAGCAATTCTTTACTAACAGAGTTTATTATCCATGAGAGTACTATTGCATTACACTTCTCCCCACAAGTCATGAAGAGATGGACCAAACCTTGATTTAGGATATCCACCATCAACGAACCCTAATATACTTTTCGCGAGTAAACTAATTCGCATAGAGCTGCTCTATAGAGCATAGTTCTTAGGACGAGTAAGTTTGATCGAGATTAAAGAGTTACCTGGAGTGTCGCAAGGCTGCAAAAATGGTGGATGATGTTGATCCACTGTTGGAATTGGTGTGATGACTCGATCAACTGGTTGTGCAAAATTGGTGTCAAGTTCATTGCCTACATTCAAGCCAGAGTTGTTGTCTCCTACGACCATTGATGAGTGGTTCTTAAACTCGAATGAGAAGAGGAATAGAGATGGATAAGCTCAATCGCTCAGGTACAATTCAACCCTAGAATTGAGGAATCGAGACCAACCGGAAAACCTTGAAAAAAAACTTTGAATCCAGAATTAGGAAGCAGAAATGTAAAATCAAGCAGAAACTAAGCTCGGATCTACATCACAAGCTCTGATACCATGGTCAAATATGGATTCAACACTCATGAACAAGAGGAGAAGACATTGAAGAACAGACTGGACAGGAGAGAGGACCTTCACTCTCATTTGATTAATCAGTATGAAAATGCTACAATGTATAGCTAATATATACAACTAACTTCTAACTACTTCTTTAACTTAAAAGGTGTGTACTGTTGTCACGACTAACTAACTAATTGCTAATTAAATAACTAATAATTCTCATTCTTCAACGTAAAATTGCACCATATATACTTACACCATTGTCTAGTTTCCCGTGAGTTCTATGATAATGATCTTAATTACTATATAACTTTAGTTTCAATTGAGTGGGTTTAGAATATTTTAATGTGAGTATAAGTTAGACATGTTTGAGCAGGTTGACTTGAAGGTTGAGCTCGCTAAGTTTTAGCCTTGAGCCTAATCTTGTGTTGTGTTAAAAAAAAACGATACCCCAATGATTTTTTTGAAACTGGTGTTACAATTTAGTTTTTATTTATATATTTCATTTATAAAAATATGAGAAAGGCATGGGAATATACAGAGTGATACAAATCTAGAGTTATGTTATAAGTTAGTTTGAACACAAGAATAAAAGGCAGACAATTTAGGGGACATTTAGCTATAAAAAAAGAAAAAAAAAGCCCCTTGTCTCTTTCCTCACTTTTTATTACTTTTTGCCTTTCTTCTTTTTAATAATTTTACCCTTAAATTAATTACTCCTTGATTAATTGATTATCTTTTGTTTGCTGAGAAAAAGTGGTCATTGTTGTCCCCTCTATTGTCTTTATCATACTGCTTTAGCTCGCGATTTTTTATTGATTATTACTGTAAGAAAAGAAAAAGAACGACAATAAGTGGAACCTAACAAACAAAAGTAAGCGCAAAAATAGTAGCCAACTTGCTTAGTCCATTATTATTCCAAACAAGAAAACAAAATGAAAAGAAGAAATTAAACTAAAAACCCCAATCAAAAAACAAAATCGCGTCACTGATGACATATACTATCCGACAACCCGAGACCGACCCGGTTAATCATTCACTTCCACGTGGCAAAATCCTTGCCCTCTAAAATATATCATACTCTTCATATATCATATATAGCATGCTTGCTTATGCTCATTATACCCTTCTTACACATTCATTCTCAACTTGAAAAAGAAAAACACCAAAGAAACAAACAAGAGAAGAAAAAAAAGGGAAAAAAAATTCATTGTATTTTGAAGAAGGATTTTCCACGTTAAAATCTTGGCAGAAGTAAGATGACGAGTGTGATGGGAGCGGAGTGTGACAAAATTCGATTGGATTACGAAGCGGAGACGGAGCTGAGGCTAGGGTTGCCGGGAGCCATTAATGGAAATGAAGGTGAAATGACGTCAAAGAATAATGGGAAGAGAGTCTTTTCAGAAACTG